TGTAATTTTATTTTATAAAAAATATCAATTGGTAATTTTATTTAAATTAATATAAAAATATATTGTAATTGAAATTAATTATTATCTAAAATCTTTAAAGATGATAAATCAAATTTTAAATAAAAGTTGGAAAAATGAAATCATTTTTTTAAAGTTTTTTTTAACCGAGGATAAAATTGTCATTTCAAATAATAAAATAGGGTGCTTTTCAAAGTTTGATAAATTTGGTATAGATTTCAAATTTTCAATAAGATTTAGTGTATACAATACAATTTTTCCTTTAAAAAAACATGATTAGAAAACTTAAATCTTTGGGCCTAATAACAATATAATTTTAAAAATTAATTTAGGAGATAATTGAGGAGAAAGTGTAAAGTTTCATGCTGCATAAGCAGTGCCGTGCCTAGCCTTTTCAGGCGCCCGAGGCGATATTAAAATATCAAATGAGTTTAAATTTTTTTTGAAAATCTGAAATGGAAAACGTATAAGTGATAAGTGCAAAAGTGTCATTTTTATGTGTCCATTTTAAAAAATATTGCTATAGGTTGTCCATTTTCAAAAATGCCACTAATAAAATTTTTAAACCCTAAATCTTAAAATTATAAACCCTAAAAAAAATTTTACCCTCAAACAAATCGTAAACCCTCAAAACTAAACTTTAATACAATATTGTTAATCCAAACATAAATGATATATTAAGTAAATGATTTTGAAAAAATAATATTTTTTAAAAGATTTTGAAAAAGTGGTATTTTAAAAATGACATTTCTCAAAAATTCTCAATTTATAATGATTTGATATTTAAAATATGAAGTCCTAATATAATACAAATTAATCCAAATCAATTTATAGAATATTATTATCAAAAATCAAAACTAAAATGAAAGACATGTATATAAAAAATTTATCAATTAAACTATTAATTATATAAAATTTGGGGCCCTAAAATTATTGATGTAAAGTAGGGGCGCTAGGCGATTGCCTTTTTTTTTAATGCCTTAAACACGGCCCTGATTATAAGGGAAACACAACGTTATATGCTCTGTAAACAATATACAAATTTAAATGGATCAACATAAAAATCTTAATTTCAAAATATATGAATGAATAAAAAACCGTTCGTATTGATAACATGTTAGAAATAATATATTTTAAGTTGCGTATAAGAAAACACATGTATTTGTAAGTGGAATTCCAGAGAAAGAGATAGAATATGAGGTTTTGAGAGGTTACTTATGACAAAAAATAACATGAACAAAAAAACTAGCTAAGAAAAATATTATCCATCACTTTCAAATGTGATGGATAATTATCACTTAAAAATTAAGAAAATGTTACCCAAATATAATGGATAATCACTTAAAATTAAGAAAATGTTATCCACGATTGATAATCCTCACCCTTAATTGGTCATAATTTATTCCTTCTGATACACTATTGACATTTCCATCTCAACTTTTTCAAGTTCTCCTTTTCCTTAACAATATTGTCTACATATATGCTTTTCAAACGAGGCTGTATTTTTAATTCAAAAATTCTGTCATTACTGTTTTTTTATTATGTGCCAATAGTTCTGTCAAAACTTGACATTTACATCTAAAATCCTTTATTTCTTTGAGATACAACCCAAACACAACTAATAGCAAAAGAAGAGAAGAGAGGTTCTTTGTTGGTATGAAGATGAGTTCAAGAATTAGGGCCTTTATGCACATGATCTTGCTCTTCGTCCAAATTTGTTATGTTTCTGCACTCACAAATGGTTTGGACAGTAAGTATAAATTGATGGTTAGGGTTTCTCAGATATGATAATTATAAACTTCTTTAGCATGAACTGTTTAAAAATTGGTGCAGCTTTTGCTTTAAAAGCCCTGAAGAATGAATGGACCAGGTTTCCTGAGAGTTGGGAAGGCTCTGATCCTTGTGGAACCAATTGGATTGGAATAACATGTACCGATGACCGCGTCGTATCGATGTAACGTATTTATTTTTTACTTGTTCTTTCTTCCAATAATTATCCTTTACAAACATTAATGTTGTGTTGTTGTTTTTTTGCAGATCATTGGTTAACTTTAACTTGGAAGGAAACCTTTCTAGTTATATTTCATTCTTGTCTGAATTGCAAATCTTGTATGTCTTTCTTCTTCATTCCATTTTTCTATTACATAGAAATGGATTTTGTTTTCATCTTATGTTCTAATGTTCGCAGGGATTTATCATATAATATTGGATTGTCCGGACCGCTTCCACCAAATATCGGCGACCTTAAGAAGTTGAGGAACTTGTAAGCAAATCAAATCATTTGATCTCTATAACAACTTGTGTATTATTCCTTGTCATATCTCGTATTTAACTAACTATTTTTACTCTCCAGGATCCTCGTGGGATGTAATTTCAGTGGTCAAATCCCTGAGTCTATTGGATCACTAGAACAACTTATATATCTGTAAGACTTAGTTGCTTCCTGTTATGATAAAGGAACAAATCTTACAACAACTCAATTTTTATTACCAAATCGATTGAAAAACATGATAACTATTAACTTTTGTTTTGTAACATTAATTTTTTAATTGTTCACGTTTAGCGCAACTTGAGTAGTTTGATCTTTATCGTCTATTACATACACAAAATAAAAAGGTTTCTAGATACCATTGAATAATTTGATGTATGTTAAAAATATGGTATTAAATAGATATATGTTAGAGGAATTCTTTAAAATACCACAGTTTGAAGTTTTGTTTAAAAAAATAACATCAACAGTTTTATATTTCAAAAATACCACAAAAACTTTTGGTTTTTCAAAAGTACCACAAACACAAAAATGATTTTCA